CCCTTCCTTGCCTCTATTTTCACTGATTCAGAGAACTGAAATTTGGCCACCATGGTGTCTAGGACATACAACAATGGTTAGGATATTTAGTTTTTAAATAATTTATTTTTCCAAATGTATCATTCCAATTATTTATTTTATTTGCGCCTGACAAACAGGTTGCTTATAGGTGTAGATAAAGGATAGATGATTACAAGGAGACATGGTGATCCTTTACTGAAACTCTGGTATGGAATTTCCTATATGTGTATGAGAAGCCTGATATGTACCATTTTGGTTCTTGCTGTATTGTTTCCCCCCCCCCCTTTTTTTTCCCTGCATCATGACAAAAATGCCATTTTATATATACACACACATACACACACACACACACATGTGTACAAACACACATATCTACGTATGCACCTGTATGTCTGTGTGTGTGTGTGTGAGAGAGAGAGAGAGAGAGGGAGAGAAAGAAAGAGAGAGAGAGAGACAGAGAGATTGTAATTCCACCCCTTAAAATGGTGCATGAAGAAAAGCAGCATTTGAGCGTGGAGCAAAAATGGCCACCCTTGAAGAGAGACCTTATGCTGTCTCTTTTCCATTGTCTCTTTCCCGCACTTGAGTTTTTCCTGGCTTTATTTAAAGGAGCCCTTAAAACCTGGCTGTTTCTCCAGATCTTGGTCTCCAGTGGGCCACAGACCCCTTGTGGAATGGTTAGCCTGGTGGGGTTACTTCTGGATGTTTGTTTTTGCATGATTTTAAATTATTTCATTTTAATTCTTTCATGCTGTACTCCCCCCAGAGTTGTGATGGAGCTGGGTGGCCCATCAACTTGATAAAAAAGAATGAATGAATTAATGAATTTTTGGTAGCAACTGGAGACATGACTAAAATCATTTACCCACATAAGCAGTATAATTACAGATACTAAAGTGAACCAAAGATGGCTTAGCTGGGGAATTCTGGGAGTTGAAGTCCACCCCTCTTCAGCTTGCCAAGGTTGAGAAACATGGCTTAGCATGTTGTGTGAAAAAGGACAACCAGTACTATCAAAATGACTTCTTGGTTTATTTTTTCTTTTAATGCCCTGATTTTGCAGATTATAAATCCACCTCTCATGGCTTCCATCACTGACTGATTGATTATGCACCATCAACTTGGTGTCTACTCTTAGCGACTACATAGAGATATTTTCTCCATGAACTTCCATCATAGTCATTTTCAAATAAATTTTATATATATTTATAAACACACACACACACACTTTCATGGGTGGGGGAATAGGGGAAGAAAGCCCAATTTCTCTTCCATGTCCCCAACCCCCCCCTCCTGAATTTCCAGATGTTTTACGTACTTAAATGTGGTTCCTTCCACACCTCCCACTAACCAAAGACTAACTCTATTTCTTTCCCTCCTTTTAGTGAAGACCCTTGGCGAGCTGCAAAGATGATCAAGGGTTACATGCAACAACATAACATCCCCCAAAGGGAGGTGGTGGATGTCACTGGACTGAATCAGTCCCACCTTTCTCAGCATCTCAACAAGGGGACGCCTATGAAAACACAGAAACGGGCAGCGCTCTATACGTGGTATGTCCGGAAACAGAGAGAGATCCTCAGGCGTAAGTAATATTGCGGTTCGAGACATTGGGATGGATGTTGTACGTATGTGTGGGCATAGATCACTTATCAGTATCTTCCCATGGACGCATCTGTGAATCTGAGACTCTTGTCTTCTGAACATGAACATGGAATGCTTTTCAGTTAAGGAAACTCCAAAGTTGTTTTTATTGCAAAATATCCATAAAAGGTTGAGAAGTGTGGGTATGAGAGACCATGAGATAGACAGACAGACAGACAGATAGAGAGACATGGGTAAATTAAAGCTATGAATCAGAATCCAAGGTATATCTAGGAATATAGGGTGATGCATTTTCCTAGCTGAGTAAAAGTTGATTTCGGCCTTGCCCACCAGCAACTGGTAGCCCCTAACAGAATGCCCTCAAATGAAACACCAAATCACATTGATTAGTTTCATACAGGCATAGTTTTATGTACGTATTTAATCCAATTTGCACACCATCCAACTCCCATCAACTCTGGTTGGTTTTCATCAAGAGGTGGTTCCATAAACTGGAAGAGCTGGGTTTGTTCACCATCCTACACCAAAATAAAATAAATCTTATGGAGGTAACACGTCAAATGAACTCAGTTAACTCATTTAGTATGATTTCCCTGATTAGTAGGGGCCCCCAATTTTTCCCAAGCATACTTGGAAAAGCCAGAGATATACTGCCAAGCATGCATTGTATTGTTGAGCTGTGCCCTCTTTAGCATAGATTCCTTTCCTTTCAATCTGGTGACTTCATGCACAAAGCTTGTGTGGTTTTCTTGGCAATAGGATAAAATTAATTTGTCATTCTCTTCTGGGATTTTTTATTCTTTCCCAGTGTAGCCTAGAAAGTTGGGATTCTCTGGAGCAGTGTTTCTCAACCTTGACAACTTTAAGAGGTGTGGACTTCCACTCCCAGAATTCCCCCCCCCCCCCCCCC